GAGAGCCCGCCCCCCACACCCCCTGCGGCCCAGCCCGCACGCCGCGTCTGCCTGGGGTGCTGTCCCCACGTCCGCATCTGTCGGTCCCTGTGGGATCCCGCCACCAGCGGGTTTGGGGACCACAAAGGGGGCGTCGGTACCCGACCGTGTAGACGCGGCCCGGCCTCGCCATGAAGTCCCGAAGGGACAAGCTGCACATCCCGGCGCTGACCCTCGAGTGAGTGGCTGGGGAAGGGAGAAGCAGGGGGGAGGGGCAGGCTGACCACCACCCTTCCCCTGCGTCTCTATCCAAGTCGTTCAGAGTCGCACCGCTGCCTCCAGGGAGCTTTCCTGGGTGATCGGTCCGGCCCCGCCCTCGAGGCCTGCAGGAGACCCAGAATCCCGGGCCTTGGGCCCCCTCCTGGTCCGGCCTTCGGGTTGGGCCACACGCAGGGGCCGCGGCCAGGCTCACCGTCCGGGCCTCTTTCTTTGCAGTCTGTCTCCGAGTAGCCAGAGCCCGTCCTTGCTGAGCCCCAGCAGCCCCTGCAGCCCCTGCAGCCCCTCCCTGGGACTGCACCCCTGGAGGTAAGTGATAGCCAGCAGGGTCGGGCTCAGATATGCCCTGGTCCCCAAACCCAGCTCCCTCCCCCAGGTACTGTGGGCTGCTGACCTCGCCTTCCGGGCCTCAGTTTACCCCTACATAAAATGGCGCGGTGAACCACACTGGGGTGCTGATGGGGAAATTCCATTTTCAGCCATAGCCAGCAGGTCCCCTGTCCGACAGGTGGCCAAGGTGAGGCCAGAGCTTGAGCTGTTGCCCAAGGTCCTGAGACAGATGCTGGGTTCCCAGCCTGCTCAGAACCCTCCCTGCTGAATCAGCCTGGCTCCCAGCCTCAGGAATCCTCCCCACAACCAGCTCAGCTGGCCAGAAACTCCTCCCTCTGAATGCACACACACACACACACACACACACACACACACACACTCACGGTTAAGAGTTCACCATTACAGCCCCAACCACTGAACTTAACCAGGTAAAGAAGTGCAGGCAGAAAAAAACCAGCTTGACTGAGCATCAGCCTTAAGTTCCCTCCTCAACCCTTGGAGGGAGGCACCCTTCGTGACCCTGTTTCCCAACTGAGGAAACGTAGGCTCCGAGAGGAAACACCGGTTCTCTTGGTCCAGTATGTATGGGCGCTAAGCCGCAGGGCCAGCGTGGCCACCCGTCTGTCAAGGGTTTGAGCCACCCTCTGTGACTGATGGGGCTCAGGGTCTTGCCCAGGACAGGACGGAATACCAGGGTGATCATGGGCTCCTTGGACAGCTCGGGGCGGACGGATGTGCGTGTCAGTGGTGTCTAGGATTTGGTGGCCCAGGTCCTTTGCACCTTAGTGTGAATGAGCTGCTCAGGCTCCTCCGACAGGCCTTTAAAGGGGAGAAGGGAGAACAATTTGGAAACCATACTGGGTACTGGGCAATAGGCAGATACCTTCATGTAGTCAACAGCATTGGTTAGGCACCCACTGTGTGCCAGGTGCTAAGGATATAGCTGTGAGCAAAATGAACATAGTCCCTCACTCACAGGGCTCAGGAAGTGGGCAATGAAAGTGAGTGGACAGACAAGATACATTCAGACAGGGGCCTCTCGGAGGAGGTTATGTTTGAGCTGAGGTGTGGACAGAACTAGGGAGGAACCACCAGGCCAGCGGTTCTCAACCTGTGAGTTGCGACCCCTTTGGCGGTTGAACGACCCTTTCACAGGGATCGCCTAAGACCATCCTGCATATCAGATATTTACATTATGATTCATAACAGTAGCAACATGACAGTTATGAAGTAGCAACGAAAATCATTTTATGGTTGGGTCACAACATGAGGAACTGTATTTAAAGGGCCAGAAGGTTGAGAACCACTGCACTAGGCAGAGGGAATTGCATGTGCAAAGGTCCTGGGGCAGAACTGAGATTTTTAAAGCCTCTGTGGCTGCCTTAAAGGGAAGAAAGGTCTTCTGGGACAGAGGGCAGGAACGGAGATGGCAGAGGCAGGGAGGCGGCTAGGTCAACATCTGGGTAGGTGATGGTGGCTCTGGACCATTTCGGGTGTCCAGAGGCAGGGACTGCTGTCGCCCCCATTTAGCAAAGGAGGACATTCAGGATCTCAGAGGCATAGGACCTCAGATTATGTTGTCCAGGGGCACCTGGGAGACAGTGTTAGAGACCAGCCAGTTTTAGCAGGAGGAAATGGAGGCAGAGTCTGGGGCGTGTGCTTAAGTCATGGGACTACCTCACTCGCCACCAGGGGGCAGCAGATCCTCATTGCCTTGGGCCAGGCAAGGAAATGGGTCTTTGCCTCTAAACACCCTAAAAACAGGCCCCCGTTTGTCCCCTCAGCCTCAGAGCCTCTTGGGTCTGGCCCCTTTGATGCCCTTGCCTCCTCCTCGTTCATCTCCTCATCACTCACCCTGCTCTAGCCAAGCAGCTTCCTGAACTTTCCTGAACGGCCAGCATGTGAGCTAGAACAGCCTCAGGGCCTTGGCACTCACTGTCCTTTCTGCCCAGAGGTTTATTTTCTCCATTTCCTCTTTTCTTCTTTTTTCAAGTATCCATCAAGCCCTACTTAAGGTGCCTAAGCCCTGGTTACAGCCATTACACCCATCCATTTCTCTCGTCCAGATCCCATCATGGGTGTGACTTCCATGTTTTCTTGTGTGACTGTTGGGTTATTTTTCTCTCCCAGAGGTCTGGGAGCAACTTTGAGGGCCAGACCTGGATCTGTCCTGGCCATCCTCTACCTTCAGGGCAAGCCAGGTATACACCAGGTGCTCAGCTAATGCTTGTGGCATGGACAAAAGGGAAGCAATTGGGAGGGCACTGCCTGTGGTGGTGGTGATGGTGGTGGTAAGAGGAGTTAAAGAAGGTCCTGAGTTGGGCCCTCACAGGCAAGGGGGCAACAGAAGCCATTCCAGGCAGGAACAGCATCATCGGAGGAGTGTTGTCTCTGGGGCCCTGAATGCCAAGGATAGAAAGAATTTGGATTTTCTACCCAGGGTACTTGGAAGCCACACAGAGAATGGGACTGAGAGGGGTGAGGGCAGCTCATGGACAGGTGGGAAGGGCTACACTCCTCTTGCCCGAGACAGCTCCTGCTCCCAATGGCTTGGTCTGGTAACCTGGAGAGCATTCCTGGGGAGATACCCAATAGAGAGCTGGACAAGGTGGGCCACTGAGGGTGACATGGACATGAGGGGACAGGAGGGGGAGCCTGAGAAAGACTTGAGAAGAAAAATCAGTAGCAAGAGAGACAAGCAGGTTAGGGCTACACACTAGGCAGCCGCGTGCCCCCTATACCTCAGTCTCCCTTCGCAGACATGTGATCTGGGTGGCAGCGTCAGCCCTGGGCCAGTTACCCAAGTGTCATGTTGCCTGTGAAGGGCCCCACCCCCACCCCCTCAGTGATCCTGACCCGGACTTACTGTGGCCGTCAGGAGAGGAGGAAGCATTCATTTACTGCGTACTGTGTGAGACATTGCTCCTTCCATAGTGAACGGGACGTACTGTACCCCCAGCCGGGTAACAGTCACTTTCTGTGCTTCCAATTCTTTCCGTTTTCACGAGGGATGTGTGTAGATGGGGAAACAGAGGCCTGGACGTTAGCCTGGGGCTCATTTACATAAATTTGCATAATATTGTCAGCCTGTTTTCCTCCCATTTTATAGTTGAAAGACTGAGACTTGCAAAATTACATCCAGCATTACATTCCTGGGTGCAGCCAGGCTGATGGCCTTTCTGTCGCACAGACAGGCAGAGGGCATAGCGTGTCAGAGGCCCTGACTCAGTTCGCTAGACAATCCCTCGGTGCCAGTCCAGTACAGGGAGATGCTGGAAACCGAGGAGCCCCAGCCCGGGGAAGACAAACCCGAGAGAAATAAGGGAGGGCTTCCCGGAGGAGGGGACGCTGGATTCTGCCAGACGCGAAGGGTATTCCAAGGAATGGAGCCAGCGAGGGCGTGGCGGCGTGAGCCCGGCCTGGCCGCTGGATGGGCCCTGAGTG